AGTTGATTGTACCTAAAAGTAAAGTGTCAGAAGTATTGCGTCAGTTACATGACGGTGCATCAGGTGGACACTTTGGTATTACGAAGACTCTGCAAAAGGTTCGAGAACGGTTCTATTGGGTGAACTGTAAAGATGATGTAAGAAGATGGTGCCGGAAATGTGAACTGTGTGCAACCAGTAATGGTCCAGTTGGTAAAAAGAGGGCACCCATGAAACAGTACAATGTTGGTAGTCCTATGGAACGAGTAGCAATCGATATTGCAGGTCCACTTCCAGAGACAAATGATGGAAATAAATATATCCTGGTAGCCATGGATTATTTTACGAAATGGACTGAGGCCTATGCGCTACCAAATCAAGAAGCTGCTACCGTTGCAGAGGTACTGGTTAAAGAATTCTTTAGCCGATTTGATGAGAGAATGAACCGAACGATGGGTAAACACCTGTCCAAAGTTGTATCAGAACATCAAAGAGATTGGGACCAGCACATTCATTTATTCCTAATGGCCTACCGCTCGGCCGTGAATGAAACTACAGGCCAGACTCCAACCTGCCTGATGTTAGGTCGTGAAGTTCGTTTGCCCTGCGACCTAGAGTTTGGCTGCAGACCTTCCGAAGCGCATGTTGCAAGCGAAGATTATGTCGATCGTCTGAAGTTAAGAATGAACAGCATTCATGAGCTTGCCCGACAACACATCCAGTTAGCCAGTGACAGAATGAAAGATCAATACGATTCTCGATGCAAGAATGAAAGCTATGAAGTAGGTGATCTTGTTTGGCTTTATAATCCCCAACGTCGTCGTGGCTTGTCTCCTAAACTGCAAAGACAATGGGAGGGTCCGTATGAAATTAAAAAGAGAATAAATGACGTAATATACCGAATTAGGAAGTTGCCGAAAGGTAAACCAAAAGTAGTTCACATAAATCGTCTTGCACCTTATGCTGGCTCAAATGAAACCGAAGAAGTCCGAACCCTTCAACATGAGATCAAAGATAAACGGCGACCAAGCTTTAAGGAGTTTATGTCAAATTACGCAGAGAGAAAGAATGCTAGATTCGGCGTGACGACAGAACTACAGCAGGATCTTTTTAGTGTTCCGCATAACGTCTCTCTAGCCCACTGTGTTACCCAAGATCTTGAGATGACTAAAGGAATCTCATCTGTATTTTATAAGAAATTCGGTCGCTTGGACGAGTTAAAAAACCAGCAGCCTAAAGTTGGAAGAGTACTGAGATTAGAAGATGGTTCTCGATCTTTGCTGTATATGGTGACCAGGAGGTCGTATACAGACAGGGCAACCTACGAGGATATATGGTGTGCTCTAACTAATTTGAAGAAAATCGTCTGCAATTACGACATTAAGAATTTGGCCTTACCCAAGATAGGCCATGCACTAGATAATCTGGATTGGAAGATTGTTAGAAGCATGCTAGAAGTGATCTTCCGAGAAACCGGTGTAAGAATTACCGTGTGTTGCACTAATCCAAAGAGATTGTGTCCTTCAAAGACAGTAGACTGTTATTTCTTTCTGAGGGGTTCATGCGGAGCTGGAGAGTCCTGTAGATTCCGCCATCCTGGGCCTATAGATAGAGTTCCTGATCGGGACGCTCAGATCTAAGAGGGGAGCAGTGTTACGAACGCGGCTCGCCTAACGGTCGCATCTCGAAGCACCCAGAAGTTTCCGCGATATATCAAAGCGCTGTAAAATTCCACCCGTCGAATAACGAATTAGAGGTGGGACTAGTCCCGAATATTCTCGAACATAATACTTTGGTATATATATGTAACGGAATTAGGAGTTAAGTTTTTAGTTGATAAGATAGTATCGAACTGTAAAGTTATAAATAAATATATTTATATATTTATTTATATAAATATAAATATATTTAAAAACGGTACAATATATAAGAGTAAGAAAAAAGAAGTACTTGTGACTCGTTTGGAAAAAATATAAAACTGTTTTGGATGGGTTGGAGTCAATAAAAGGGCTATTTGCTGACTATTTTTTACTCGAGCTTTCAATTGTGATTACAATTATTATCAAGAGCTTCTAAAAAATACAAAATATCTTACAAAGTTGAACTAGAAATAATTTTTTTTTTCTTAACTCACCAAATAAAATTAGTTTTTTATATAAAACTGCTGCTTACATATTAATTCCAAAAAATATTAATAAAAAAATGTCCTATTCTAATAAATGTTTCTCTGAAAAATTTTGATTAAAAGTTTCTTAACAAAACCAATTGAATTTGTAAACAAAAATTGAATAGCTACAAACCAGCCTAAATGTCATAAATACTAACTTAAAAATTTTTATTTCGACATATTGTCAAAAATAAAATTTTGTTTAAAAAATTCTTCTTTGTTTAGTAACAAAAAAGAAGAAGATTTATTCACCATTGATAGATGCCCGTAAAAATGTAACAAATACATGGAAAATTCAAAATGTGATATTTTACTGACTGCATATATAAATTACATAGAAATAATATAATTATAAATTTTGCTTAGATTTTGAATTTCTGACCTTTTGTTTAAATTATTATCACTTTTGCTAATACAAACCATTTCCAAAAAAGTTCTTTTAAATTTATTACTTTCACTACATAAAATTTTAATATTATCAAAATCCATAATATGGTCTTTGTCTATTACATGCTCTGCCAAAGCACAAGATGGTTTCTTAATTCTGCAATCACTCTTGTGAGAAATAATGCGATTTGAGAGATTTCTTCCAGTCTCACCAATATACTCAGCTTCACACTGAGTACAAACAATGCTGTATACTACATTTGTTTGATCTAATTTGTCTATAGGATATTTAGTTTTGGAATATAAAGATGAAATGGTTTTGATGTTTTTTGTTGCTATTTTTACATTGTCAATAACCTTTAGTGTTTGTATTAATTTAGGAGTCAATGATGGTATAAAAGGTAGCGAATGATAATATATGTTTTGATTGTTGGATACAGTATTTTTAGATTTAGCAAAAAATGGTGTTAAGTTATTTATATTTAATAAATTAGAAAAAAGCATCTTAAATGAACCTTATAACAGGATTAAAGGAACGTGTTTTAAAACTTTCTCATCCAGACTATCTACAAGAAGATCTTCATTTGTTAAAAAATATTTTAATTGAAAACTCTTATCCTCCAGATATGCTACATAGGACATTAAAAAAAATTATTTCTAGTTCAACTTTGTAAGATATTTTGTATTTTTTAGAAGCTCTTGATAATAATTGTAATCACAATTGAAAGCTCGAGTAAAAAATAGTCAACAAATAGCCCTTTTATTGACTCCAACCCATCCAAAACAGTTTTATATATATATATATATATATATATATATATATATATATATATATAATGGTTGAATAGCAGAGGTTTTATCGGTCAATAATTGGCAAATGAAAGTCGTCAACTACTTCATTCATTTATTCGAATACGTTTCGCTTTTATTTTTAAAAGCATCATCAGTTCACTACAAAAAAATATTTTAGAATATAAGTAAACAACCAACAGGGTTCATACTTAAAAAAACAATTTGTAGGTTTTTTAGAAGTTAGAAAAACTCTACGATAACTTAACATTAAAAATTAACAACTAAACGGGAGACACGAAAAAAAACAACAACAGAGAAACTGTAAGAGCACTATTGTTCATTTAATTTTGACCGATGGCTTCATTTGAATGTTATTTTAAACTCTTTCGAGGGTCAAACCACACTAATGTTTTCGATTGTTTTCTATCACTTGTAGGATGTTATAATTTTCACATGTGGCTTGTTATCCTACATGTGTTTCTTTGGAATGCAGGGAGGTACGATTATTAAAGGAATTAGTAAACGGAACGGGGTCAGACCTGTTTTTAAAAAAGGATTAATTTTTCATTTTCTTTAAAAACAAACTGTTACTGTCTTGTAAGGGGTTTTTTATTTGTTTTGTATGATAAGAGAGTGGTATATATGGCTCAAGTTGTCGATGTCCGTTCTCTTATTTAGGGACGATGGATTTTTTAGAATTAGACTCATTTCAAGGATGGATCGCTTATGATAATTTTTTTGTTTGCACCGTATTTTGGTATTCTTGAAGTCGATAATGTCGCTTTTGTGGGACGTTAGTCGACCTTGAAGAGAGCGGCTGATCTGGCCAATGTAGCAGGATTTACACTCTGCACAGGGTACATGATAGACCACATTAGTTTGTTCTAGACCACATTAGCTGACATAGAAATATTTTAGGCACAGAGAAAAGGATATTTATTCAGACTCGAGGGAAATCCGTACAGTTGCACCATAGGGAAGTGTGTTGGAACCAGTCCTATATCTCCTGTACACAAATCATTATTGTACACTGTACACTTTATATAAAATACACATATATAATTTATAATATACCGATATATGTATACTAGTATATTGTAAAGATTTATCGGTAGAACTGCAAAAAGGCCAGTTTTTATGATTTTTTTTTATGGTTTCAACTAAATTGAAAACATGACAGCAGTTATTCACTTTAGGTCTAGTTTATTTTGGTTTAAATGCGTTTTGCTAAATTTACAAAGGAGTTTTTTAAATTTATTTAGTATTTTTTATTAAAATTAACTACCACCAGCAAGCAAATCTAAATTTGACAGAATCTGGCTGTATTCGGATCGTTACTCTTGCGAAGAAGGATACACTCAAGTTGCACTCGCTGAACAGTTAAACGTTACTCAGTCAACCATATTAAGAGTTTAAACACGTTTTACTATCAAGGAAAGTAACTGAAAAAGACCCGGAAAAGGCCACAGAAGGGTTACAACTCCTGATCAAGACCAATTATTGAGACTTCGTACTCTGAGACAAAGGTTAGTTATCAGTACTTTTCTATAAAATAAATGTTTGGACGGATACAATTTTCATCATCATCAATGGTGCTACAGCCCTATGAAATAGCCTCGACGTTCCCAAGTCTATTACGCCAGGCAGTCCTATCCATTGCCAACCGTTGCCAGTTTGCTGCGCCTATCTTTCTACCATCCTCATCTACACCATCCTTCCATCTGAGTTTTGGCCTACCCCTTTTTCTGCTTCCCACGAGTTGTGACATAAGGATTCTTCTAGGAGGGTTGTTCTGCTGTGATCTTGCTAGATGTCCTGCCCATCTTAATCTTCCTATTCTTATAAGAGATACTACGTCTTTACCACCAAATATTTGTTTATATCTGTGGTATACCTCGTAGTTGTATCTCCTCCTCCAAACACCATTTTCACAGATCCCACCAAATATTCCTCTCAGGATCCTTCGTTCAAATATAAGCAAAAGGTCTTCGTCTGCCTTGGAGATGGTCCATGTCTCCGATCCATATGTCAACACTGGCTGTATAAGGGTTTTGTATATAGTTATTTTTGTTTTTTGGCTTAAGTTTCTACTTCTCATATGTCTACTCAGTCCAAAATAGCATCTGTTTGCCATTACTATCCTTCGCTTGATTTCTTCCGTTATGGCGTTCTCTTTGGTGATCAGGGAGCCTAAGTATGTGGATTTGTCAACCACTTCAAAGGTAGAGTTATCAACCGTGAATTGGGGACCGATGTTCCTGGCTCTATTGTTGGGTGTTGATGCCATCATCTTAGTTTTCTCCTCATTTACTTGCAGGCCAATAGATTTTGAGGCATTTGAGAAGGTGGTATACATTTCTTCTAGCTTGCGTGTTGTGCGGGCAACTAGGTCCACATCATCTGCATATGCCAAAATTTGGGATGATTTATTAACAATATTTCCTCTGTTGTCTATTCGGGCATCTCTGATTGCCTTTTCCAGTGCTGGATACAATTTTAGAATAAGAAAAAAATACGATAAGGAGAAGACTTACCGAAAATAACCTGCCCCCTGAAAGTATCCACTGGTCCAGTATTTACCAGAGGCAAATATTCTATTTTACTCGTGAACATGTTGTTTGAAATAATAAAGACTGGGGAAAAATAATATTCAATTATGAATCCAGATATTGTCTTTTTTTATTTTTGACAGGCAAAATAGAGTATACAGAAGACCTGGGAAATGCTACACACAGTGTAACATTGTAGAGATTATACAGTATAGTGGCTGCTCAGTAATGGTGTGTGGTGGGATCAATTTGGAAGCTCGTATGTCATTAGTTCGAATAGATATAGGGCGGCTTACAGCACAAAGGTATATTACAGACTTTTAGAAAAACATGGCTTGCCATTTGTACCATCTATTGGGTCGAATTTCATGCTTATGCGTGATAATTTCAGACCACACATTGCAATAATTGGCCAGCGATATTGCCAGGATGTTGGAATTCCTGCGATTGTTTGTCCTGCTAGAAGTCCCGACCTTAACCCAATAGAACGTGTTTGGGATATTGCAGGTAGATGACTACCACAATTACCTAACCTACCGTACATATTAAATAAACTGATTTTCCGATTGGTTGACATTTGGAAACAAATTGATTACGATGAAATAAAACAATAATTCTTAGTACCTATAGGAGATCGTTGTCAAGTAGCAATAAACGCAGGGGAGGCAGTACTCGATTTAAATTTAATTTTTTCGATCTTAATTTCTCATTTTGTCTTTTTTTTAAGACGACAGTTAGTCTTATTTCAATATATTTAATTTAATGAGTTGAAATACCAACTTTAAAAAAGAAAAAATTATTTATTAAAGCTCAAATTAAAAACTTTCAGAATTATGCGTTAATTTTGGTGCAATGTAGTTCACAAAGCTACTTGTGGAAGGATTATCTGTTATAATTCGAAGAAGAAAACAAAAGGATTTTGCTACTTCATTCTTTACTGAAGATCTATCATATATGAATTCATAAACATCATCAGTTTTTTCAAAAACAGTTAAATGAGTTAACGCTCGTAAAGAAAATTGCAAAGAATAACTTACAAAGGTATGCATCTCTAAAAAGATGTAAGTGAAGCAATAGTTTAACTCAGAACTAACTAAGTTTTTATATAAAATATGCCAAGAACAGAAGTAGATAAAGAGTTATATAAAAAATAGAGTACTTTCTAACATAGAGGACAAACAAAATTCCAAATTCACTGATATTAATTATGTTCAATCGTTAATTTTAAGTTTTATATTTCAGTTTCAATAGCATTATTTGGTCACGTTGCCTCTAATTAAATAAAGGAGACCATTTTTACCAAAAAAATCACCAAGCAGCACTTGAATGATTTTCCAACGAAAGAGGAAGTAACATGTGGCTGCTTACAAATATATATCTACTTTGTCCCGAATCCAAATTTTTGACCGTTTGGAACGTAAATTGGAATAAGCAATGTTTTACTTAAAGTAAAAAGATAAATTAAGCGTAGTACACAGAATAACTGCCACCTACTCCAATAATAGATACATACACACATTTAAAAATATATCATTAAGGTACTTACGGATTGACAACACTTTGATCTAACAAATCAATTTTATTTTGTACAATCACAGTTGGAATTTCGCCACATTCATTTTCTACCTAGAATCAAATTAAAAATAGGTATTAGCACCAGTTGCAAAGATTATTTTTCAATTTCTATTTTAATTAATTTGTAGTAAAATTATAATTGGTAGAGATTATAAATTTAAATAAATAAATATAAAAAATAAATAAATATAAATATGAAAGAAAGAGTACGTTTAAGAAAGATTGCAAAATGGTCCAGGCAATTATTTGCAAAATTTAGCAAGAAATAATATATACTTTTTTCTAATTCAACTTTGTAAAATATTTTGTATTTTTTAGCAACTCTTGATAATGATTGTAAACATAATTGAAAGCTCGAGTAAAAAATAGTTAACAAATAGCCCCTTTTATTGATTCCAACGTATCCAAAACAGTTATATATGTGTATATATATACATATATATATACATATATATATATATATATATATATATATATATATATATATATATATGTATATATATATATACATATATGTATATATATATATACATATATGCATATATATACATATATATATATATATATATATATATATATATATATATATATATACATATATATATATATACATATATATATATATATATATATATATATATATATATATATATATATATTGTTATGTTTTTGTATTTTTGATTTTAATTTATTTACTTGAAACAATCACAAAAATATACTTTCTCGTTATCAATGTCCTAAAAATAAACTTCTGATATTTCTTATGTTCAGTGAGTTCAAAGTTTTCTAGTTGTATTTATCGGGATAGGAAAAACAAAGGATAATAATAAAAAGTATAATACATAAAATACAGATATTTTTTATTTTATAAAAAAAAAACAATTATTAAATTTGCCGTTATCTTTTCAATCAGCGAATATGCATGTAATGAAATTAATACAAAAAGAAAATTTTAATTCTTATTTTCTTCTTGAGACAAAACAATTTGAAACTAATTTAAATTTGGATACCTTTATAAACTTTTATCTTCCTTATATTTAAAAAATCTATTTTATTATGGAAACAAAACTTTAAAACATTTGATAAATGTAAAAAGGTCTAATCATGCTTTAAACTGGTAACAACAATGAGGTAAACAAATCGCATTTAAGATTTACACACCTTTCAACTTGAAAAAGGAAAATATCTGACCTTTCTTCCCTGGATTGTTTTAGGACCACACAAAGAATTGTCCACCTTCCACAGCAATGTGTTCTTCCACCTTGCGCCTCGGCTTCTTGTTTCAGTATCTGCTCCTTCAGCCAATTTAACTGACTTAATTTAACCTCCTGACTCAATTCTCCAACACTTAACACACGAAAATCACTTCTTCAAACATTCATATAACTTCTTCGTGACCCAAGGATCTCTTTTCTCACCTGGTGCCACAACTATTTAACACGTATTCCAGAAACTGCACACTTTAGATTCAAGGATTTCTTTACATCGACTTGCAATCTACTTCTTCCACAATTCTGCTAACAAGACTGGTAACTTTATCCACTTAACAATGCCGGCCTCCAACTCACGAACACACCGCCTGTCGAGACGCAACCTTTCTTTTCGATCACTCAAACATCACTGTCTTCTCGAACCAACAAAAACTCTATCAACCCTCGGTCTGTCGATTTCCCCTTCCAAAAAGATCGTCTCATCACAAAATCCAAATTTGTTTACCACACTTGTTGGAATGCTAATTACCGTTTTCAAGCAAGGAACTTTAATCTTTTAACAATGGTCATTTCCTTGTAAACAAATAATTTTTATACATTTCAAAGATTTTTGCCTTAGTCATAATAGAAGATTTATACAACACAATACCGGACTAATCCTTCAGGTAACAGCTTATTTTCTATAATGTACAAATGGTTTGTCAATAACTCGTTTAGAATGGCTTAGTTCTTTATAAGTCATAAAATTTCGGTACTAATCTATCTATTTACAAATATACAAACTTTCTATCTTAAAATTAATACATATTTTGTCTTCAGATTTCTTAAAAACTTACTTCCGATGGATTCCTTAATTATTTTTGTTCCTTCCGCGTTTGTGGAAGAAGAAGTATAATAAATCCCCGCCTTTGCATATGATAAAAATTACTGAATTTGTGCAATAATATCCCCGCCAAATATGAAATTCGAGTAATGTTGCAAAGACGAAAAAATTTTTCTCTTATCCCAAATGCAATAAATTTAAATAAATGCAATAAAATTTAAAACTTTTGTCAATTGTAAAAATCAATCAAATATAATAAAATATATCATGCAAAACTTGTACCTAGAGAAATTTGAAATGTTATGTCATAAAATGCAGTTATTATAAACTTTGACCATCGGAAATAAATTCTCAATCAACCTGCTTTCTTTCCCTATCCTTTTAAATTCCAACTAGAAATACTTTCTAAGCTTCACACGTTTGGGCGACAGTTGTTATGTTTTTGTATTTTTGATTTTAATTTATTTACTTGAAACAATCACAAAAATATACTTTCTCGTTATCAATGTCCTAAAAATAAACTTCTGATATTTCTTATGTTCAGTGAGTTCAAAGTTTTCTAGTTGTATTTATCGGGATAGGAAAAACAAAGGATAATAATAAAAAGTATAATACATAAAATACAGATATTTTTTATTTTATAAAAAAAAAACAATTATTAAATTTGCCGTTATCTTTTCAATCAGCGAATATGCATGTAATGAAATTAATACAAAAAGAAAATTTTAATTCTTATTTTCTTCTTGAGACAAAACAATTTGAAACTAATTTAAATTTGGATACCTTTATAAACTTTTATCTTCCTTATATTTAAAAAATCTATTTTATTATGGAAACAAAACTTTAAAACATTTGATAAATGTAAAAAGGTCTAATCATGCTTTAAACTGGTAACAACAATGAGGTAAACAAATCGCATTTAAGATTTACACACCTTTCAACTTGAAAAAGGAAAATATCTGACCTTTCTTCCCTGGATTGTTTTAGGACCACACAAAGAATTGTCCACCTTCCACAGCAATGTGTTCTTCCACCTTGCGCCTCGGCTTCTTGTTTCAGTATCTGCTCCTTCAGCCAATTTAACTGACTTAATTTAACCTCCTGACTCAATTCTCCAACACTTAACACACGAAAATCACTTCTTCAAACATTCATATAACTTCTTCGTGACCCAAGGATCTCTTTTCTCACCTGGTGCCACAACTATTTAACACGTATTCCAGAAACTGCACACTTTAGATTCAAGGATTTCTTTACATCGACTTGCAATCTACTTCTTCCACAATTCTGCTAACAAGACTGGTAACTTTATCCACTTAACAATGCCGGCCTCCAACTCACGAACACACCGCCTGTCGAGACGCAACCTTTCTTTTCGATCACTCAAACATCACTGTCTTCTCGAACCAACAAAAACTCTATCAACCCTCGGTCTGTCGATTTCCCCTTCCAAAAAGATCGTCTCATCACAAAATCCAAATTTGTTTACCACACTTGTTGGAATGCTAATTACCGTTTTCAAGCAAGGAACTTTAATCTTTTAACAATGGTCATTTCCTTGTAAACAAATAATTTTTATACATTTCAAAGATTTTTGCCTTAGTCATAATAGAAGATTTATACAACACAATACCGGACTAATCCTTCAGGTAACAGCTTATTTTCTATAATGTACAAATGGTTTGTCAATAACTCGTTTAGAATGGCTTAGTTCTTTATAAGTCATAAAATTTCGGTACTAATCTATCTATTTACAAATATACAAACTTTCTATCTTAAAATTAATACATATTTTGTCTTCAGATTTCTTAAAAACTTACTTCCGATGGATTCCTTAATTATTTTTGTTCCTTCCGCGTTTGTGGAAGAAGAAGTATAATAATATATATATATAAATATATATATACACATATACTTATATTAATGTGATATTCAAAGTATGAGGTGCGCCAAGCAATTAATTAGCTAATTAATTATTCAATTAAATTGAAATGATGCAATTATGATTGTATCACATTATTTAATTCTCTTATCTCAGGGTTATACTCGTGCTTCAATATCTATGCTTTACATATGATAGGTAAGGTCCAAAGAATACCGGAATAATAAAAAAACATATATAATACAACATTATATATTGAAATAAAATTCACACTCAAATATCTTTAATAAAAATATCTCATATACCTAATGATTATCAAAATTTTGTTCTACGTACGTGAACCTTCAAAAATTAATGGTACATACAATATAAATTAAAATTTCAAATCAAAATTGTTGTTGTATATCTCCTGATCAAAATATTCCTATCTTTTCTAAAGCAATTGTAAAAATTGTGTTGTTAATAAAGAAAAACTGACGAATAGTAAAACTCTCTCTCTGATGATGAGTTGTCCAAATCCTTATTCCTTGTAGCCTACACTATCTATTCTTAGAAGTCCCCTAGGTAATCAGCAATCTTACAACAAATTGTTGCGAGCCTATCGTCTTTAATGATCTCCTTAATTAAAGAAAAAATTTCTTAATTTAATAATTTTGAACACCCTGTAAATTAAATGTTTAATAATTAATCATGAAATACATTCGACCAATATCCAGCTATTTAGAACACTCTGTACATAGGTATAGGGAAGTCTTATGAAACTATACCTTATTTTTTGCCGACAATTAGAAAATGCAATTATATATAAGGTGTCCCATAAAAAAATATAACTTTGATACGCCCCGCACTTTATTGGGACGCCCTGTATATTTCAAAATTTTGAAATGTAGCCCTTATCAACCTTCAAACTATAAATTTAAATTTTTTTTAAATCTTTGTCCGTTTCGCTGTAATCTTCCGCCTCGTTAGTGGTGACTCACCCCATATATATATATATATATATATATATATATATATAAATATATATATATATATATATATATATAAATATATATATATATATATATATATATATATATATATATAAATAAGGATCACTCAGATGAGTGGTGGGTTCAATTATCGGTCAACTAGG